TGATCATCAGATAAAGCAGGACGCAGAATAAAACAGAAATAGCAGAGCCGTGTGCAATGTGTTGAGCAGAGTGTACAGTGTGAGCAGTGTACAGTCGGTGTAAAGCAGAGTATGTGTGTGCCGTGTGTACAATATACAGTCAGTATAAAGCAGGCCACAGTGTGTGCAGTGTACAGAGTACAGTACAGAGTATAGATGATAGAAAGCAGAAATGAAATGTGAAGAAGAAAAAGGAAATGTACCTCCCAAGCGCGCCAATAGCCCCCGAGCAACTGTCCACTACCGCGGGAAGCTGAGCTCATGTACCCGTAGAGGGTGGCCAGAGCGGCACCACCCTAGTCATAGTGCAAAATCTGCTTGACATCCACCAGTGCACTGAGCAGACAAAGGGGCATGGTGTTCGCCCGGTCGGCGAAAATGGTAGTCCCCAGCAGAAACATCAGAAAGCCGCGGGCGTACTGCTCCACTGCCTCCTGGGTCATCAAAGCCTCCTCGGTCAAAGCTGGCTAGACCCTGAACTGGACCTCGAACCATGAATATCGGACGAAGTCGGGACGCGCAAGAGGCGGCACCTCGCTGAGCAGATGGATCTGAGCAGCCGTCCACTCGTCCATATCAGTATCAAAGGGGATCGGATCACCCCCTACCCTGATGCCTGTGAGCATCGAGAAATCATAGGGAGTCATCGTCATGTCTCCCATCGCAGAAAGATGAAACGAGTCGGTGGTGTCCCACCACCTCTCCGCTAGAGCAGCAAGGAGAGGCCTGCTCATAGTAAGTCCGGACAACCCTCTGCAGAATGCACCAAAACCGGCCTGGTCCACGATGTGGCGGACCGCATCAGGTAGCTCTGCGTACCAATCACGAGCGGCGATGTTCCCATACCCCCGGACGGTATGGGAATCTCCTTGTTTTCGAACAGACAATTGCGAAGCAATGATAAATATACCAGTTTTGAAAGGCATTCAGAACTCAGGCAAATACAGCATGTGTGCAAGTCTTTCAGATTCAAACAGATACCGGGTGCCGGTGTGCTTACAGTGAACTGCAACATGTGTTGTGTCGGCGTGTTTGAGTGGTTCAGTGCAAGTATAGCATGTGGACATGTTTTCAAATTCGAACAGATATCGGGTACCGGTGTGCTCGTAGTGAACTGCAGTGACTGGTGTGTCAGTTTGTTTGAGTGGTTCAGGGCAAGTGCAGTGTGTGTGCGCGCGTTCAGATTCGAACAGATATCAGTTGCAAGTGTGTTCATGGTCGATTACAGTGTACAGTGCCTCAGTGCATTTGGGCTAAGCAGTTAAAGAGCATAATCAGTTATGGCAACTAGGTGTTCTACATTGCGGAAAGTAAAGCAGAGGGAAGAATGTTACCTCGGAAGCGCCGAAGGACAAATGAGATGTAGGCTCGCGCAAGAGAAGCTCTGGAGGCACGCCCCTCTCGAAACTCCTGAACTGGCGCAGTCCATCTGGAGGCAGGATGTGAATCGCCGGCCGGTAGGTCGTCGGGTCGAACGGGCGGACGCTCAAGGGGAGGAGCTCGGCCCCGGGGTCCATCTCATGATCCGGGGGAGTCTCGCCTTGTGGGATATCATCCGCCATGTCAATGGTCGTGAGAAGATGGCCGGAAAAGTGAAAATCAGGCTGGAATGTGAAAGGTCAACGAAAAGTCAACCCCCAAGAGGGTGGAAAATGGCCGGAAAAGCCGAGAAGTGAAAAAGGTATAAGAATCGAGAGGAAAACAAGGGGAACAAACCCCAAAAAGTGGAAATGGCAAAGGAAGCACCGAAACAAAGAAATGTTCAGTTCAAAATGTTCGAAACGCGAAGAACTTCGCGAATCCAACGATGAAACGGGCGTGAAACGCAAGAAAATGGAGAAGGGAAGAGGGAAAAATGCTCTAGAGAGAGAGGGGATGAAATTTCGGCTAGAGGGAAGTAAGAAAACAGGGTTTGAAACCCCATTTTAAAAGACCCGAGGTGAAAAGGCAAAATTGCCCCGATTCAGGCATTTTTGGCCGGTCGGCTACATTTTTGGCCAGCCGGCCAAATATTTGGCCGGTGATGTGTTTTGATGGCCGGTGGACAGCCGGTGACTTCTCCTTTCGGCCGGTGAGCCTCCTACAGCCTTGTTTGGGTCAAATGAGTGGTTTGGGACCTTCATTGCTCAAGTCAGTGCAAGAATAGTGCATTTCTGAAGCTCAACCAGCCTCCGTTTTGGCCTCGGACCGTGTCTTCTATGCGTGGCACTCGAATATGTGCAAGGAGTATCCTTTTTGTATCCTTTTGTCCCTTACAAGATGTGAAAGTTGCCTTACTTGCATTGTATTACGACGCTTTGTCGTGAACGCACCCTGGTTATGCGTTATCTAGTTCGCATTGTTGCGCACATATCTTATAAGTATCATACACATGTCAATCGCACTGTCTTGTGCATTTCAAATCAATTGCACTATCTTGTGCACTCGCGTTGTCTAACGCATCGCGTTGTTTTGCGCATCTCATTGCATTTTGCATGCATTCCATCGCGTTATCTTGCGCATCGCACTGTCTTGTGCACTCGCGTTGTCTAACGCATCGCACTGTTTTGCGCATCTTATTGCATTTTGCATGCATTCAATCGCACTGTCTTGTGCACTCGCGTTGTCTAATGCATCGCGCTGTTTTGCGGATCTTATTGCATTTTGCATGCATTCAATCGCGCTATGTTGTGCATCTCATTGCATTTTGCATGCATTCAATCGCGCTATGTTGCGCATCTCATTGCATTTTGCATGCATTCAATCGCGCCTATTCTTGCGCCATCTCAATTGCACTTTTGCGTTGCATTCAATTGCGCTATTGCGCCACACACACCGTCTCTGTACCATCACGACGGTCCATAGGAGACCTAAATCCTCGGCATTCTCAAACTGGTACTCAGATACACTGGCTTCTGGCAACTTATAAACTGCTTCATGGCATTCATACACATGGTACTCTGCATTTGCATTCTGCACTGAAAACCTGTCCTACGATTATTACTCTGATGCATTCCCTTTTATTACTTTTTCAGCCTCCTCTTTCCAGATTCCCATGGCAGGAGGTGCTCCAGCTGGACCTTCCGTCCCTTCCCGAGGGAGAGATGAGGAGGGCCGAGTATTCCCCCGCTCCAAGGCGGGGCGTGCTCATGTCGGGAGCAGCTCGCGAGCTCCAGTCCCGGATGATGACGACGACGAGGAGTCAGAGGCAGAGGTAGAGGCGGAGTCCGAGTCATCGGAGGAGGAGACCGGAGGCGGTTCTAGCTTGGGCTCTGACGACGACGCTGATGACGCTCCTGGACCCTCGTCCAGGAAGAGGACCAGGATAGACTGATAGCCCTTGGAGTGCTCGGCACAGATGCGGATTTTTGTTGTTTTTCTTCTTTCTTGTACTTTTCCTCTTTTCTTTGGTAGTTAGATTACCTTGTACTGCCGCAGGCAGATTTTGTTTTCTTCAAAACTTTGTACTTGAAAAAGATTATGAAATGAACAGATTTTTTTGCTTAAAAAGTGTTACATTTACATATCTCATGCATTGCATCGCATTCCATCATGTTACACCTCAATGTAAATGAAATTGATTGGTTGTCTGAAAATTGAACACTGGCACTTGTAATAATCAGATAACTAAACAGCCAACAACAAAATAACCCAAGCAACCCACTGCCTGATTCTTGGACACACAGCCCTTACTCTGTTGGGGATTAATCTGCATATAGCCCATAACACAACATTCGGTTCATTCTGCACATAGCACACCTCGAACAAACAACCCAATCTGACAAGACGGAGCTCAAAGATGGGACCGGTTGGAGTCGAAACACGTTCAAATGTAGAGAATGGCACAACATTCCGAGTGTAAATGATTTTTGAAATCGAATGAGGGTTTTTCAAACCGGGATATCGAGCCTACAACTGAACACAGCGGGGAGGACTCAAATAAAGAGGTACACGACCTAATCACAACGAGACACGCTCGGGAAAGACTAAAAACAAAAGACGAGACCGTCAAATGAAAGAGACACGACACACAGATGCGGTACTCAAATCTTGGCAACTTTAGATTTTTCCTCACTTTTCCTTTGATCTTACGTACAAAAGAGTTCATACCATTTGGCTCCTAGCAACCATCCTTCACCGAAGGGCTCACAACAACCAGATCAGACCCCTCATTCTCACCGACATCCACCCCGTCGTCATGTTCTGTGTGGTTGGTCACTATTGGGACATATGCAACATGAGAGGCATTCAAAACAATGCTAGTATGTACCAACGACCTGCTACTGCAACCTTCTTGTGGAACATTGGCATTGCCACTTGCTTGTCCAACTAGATCGGTGTTACTGACGTTGACACCACAAAAATGTTGCGTTACATTGTGCACTGCTTGCTCACCATCTCAATAATCACCCACACATTAAGATTTACACACGCTTAAATCGAACTATAAATATACAAGGGTAGAGATATTCCTACCTCAAGGGTTGTGAGCGAAAGATAAAGATCCAAGCAATGAATTTTTGAAATAGCACAATCTAATCAATTCAAAATGTAGCTTTTGGTGAGAGAAACAACTTTGTTGAAGGCACAAAGATGGACTCTTGCTATAGATAGATGAAATCTAGAGTTTTAATTCTAGGGTTTTCAAAAAAGACTGATAGAGAAAGAAAGATTATGAAAAAATGAGCTAAAAATGAGTTTAGATTGTGTTTTAACTCTGTTGTCCCAAACAGACCGCTCGAGCGAACTTTCCATTGCTCGAGCGATGCACATAATATAAACAGACCACTTGAGCTAACTAAACATCGCTCAATCGGTAAACTCAAAGGCCCAGAAGTTTTGTAAAGCTACAGTGGAAATACTAGGAGCTCGAATTTTGCGCTCGAGCGACCACTCCATCGCTCGAGCAGTTTTGCCTACAAACATGCAAGGCACAGGGAGCTACACATCTATGCTCGAGCAACTAGATGACCGCTTGAGCGGTCACCCGAACAAACTGCTACATGTTCATTGCCGTGTTGGTGTCCAACACATGTGAGACATGGATACAACCCCCATTTTGGAGTATCTATGCTTCCTAGTCTTCATTTTTTGTTCCATTATCCCCTCCCTCTCTTCTATACTGGTAGTTATCTTTTTCTTTTCTTTCCTTCCTAAGTTTTCCAGTTGATGAGGAGAAGAACATGAAATCGGTTGTTGAATACTTTCAAGAGGTGTATGGGTTTACCATTCAACATCCCCATCTACCTTGCCTCCAAGTGGGAAATCCAAGGAAAGTGAACTATTTGCCAATGGAGGTAGGCTCTAGTTAATTTCTCAATTTAGTGATGCAAAGTTAAGTTTTCTGTACTTAATTATCAGTATCTTGCCATATTTTTTCAGGCTTGCAAGATAGTTGACGGGCAGAGATACACAAAGAGGCTGAATGATAAGCAAATAACTTCTCTGTTAAAATTTTCATGCCAAAGACCTCAAGAACAAGAAATGGACATTTTGAAGGTTTGCATCTTCAATTATTGGATTCATTTCTGCTTCTTTTAATAAAAACAAGGATTTGAAGGCTGAAATTTGAAACTATCTAATTAATATGGATCACTTTTAGTTGCTTGCTCCTTCATTTTTTGTGGAAACCTTGAGATTCTGTCACATGAACTCTGTTTGGTTGTTTTCAAAGTCTTTTTCCCCCCTTCCAAATAATAGAAGCTAGTTTGTTGAAAATAAACACAATATATTTTTAAAATTAAAAAAATTATTTTTGCCTAAAAAAGGTAAAATCATACGATAATGATTAGTGTTTTTTATTTTTTCATTTTATTCACTAAACTAGTACTTAGTTTTCTGAAAAAAAGAAAAAAGGAAGAAAGAAAACATAGGCATGAAGTTTGAGATAGCAACAGCTGCTTCAATCGGCTCTGTTGGTGCAATTGGCCCCTCGGCAGAAACAGACTAAAAATAAAAACAGATAATTACAAGACAAAACGGTGTTCGAGGCAACAACCCCGGAATCACCTGGTATTATATACAAAGGGGACTGACTCGGTACAACAAGACAGACCCTTAAGCAAAAAAGATTGACTCAAGACAAAGAGATAGACTCAAAACAAAAGACTGACTCGATATCCAAGCCAGGATTTACAAAACTCGGTTTCACCGATGCTCAAAAATGCGTGCCAGACGCTACATCCAAAATATACCAAAGGTCGCCCACAGGCGGTTCACTTTACATACTCGCAGTATCTGAGCCCTCGAAATCCAACAACTGGGTGGTAACGGACTTGGCTGAGGTTGGTGGGAGGATAACCTTGTTGTCGATCAAATCTTGCACTTCATGATGAAGGCGGGAACAACCATCGGTACTGTGACCGGACTGTTGGTGGTATGCGCAGTACAAGGTAGCATCATGCGTGGCGGGGAGATTCTTCGGGAGTGGCCGAGGCTCCAAAGGTTTAAGATGCCCATTCTTCGCCAATATTAGTAACGCCCTAGAAAAAGGCATGTAGAGGTCGTGAAAGACCCTGCGCCCTCGGGGCAGGTACTTTGAAGTTTGAGGATTCTTGCCAGATGCGCTAGCGAAAGGGTCGGCTGGCACTGCCTTGGTTTTTTGACCCTTTCCCGGTGCAGGGTTGGGAATGACAGGAATTGTCTGGGCATGACGGGGCCCATCCCGATTTTCTGCCTGGCTTGAACTGCCTTTGATTGGAGCGGGGAAAGCATCATCCACAGCTTTGGTTATGATCGCAGATGTTTGTTGCTTTTTCATCCCTCTGACTTTCAGAGCCTCGACTGCCCACAGCAGTTGTTCAATAGGATCGGCATCTACCTTTGCCTTGTCTTTTCCTCTAGCCTCAGCCTGATCAAGGGTCTGGGTTGGTACTTCAGAGCGAAGCCCGGTTGTTGCTGACATGTCGCGGCTGTAGTCGGAAGCCACCTCTGGCTGGCTGAGCTCTATCACAATCCGCCCCAGTAGCGGAGGCTCCTGTGGTATGAAATTCCCGGCATTCGGCGCCGTTGGGGCGAAGCTGACATTCCGTAGGCGAGATCCGCCACAGACATCTGGAGATCACCTATCATCCCCATCAATTCAAGTGGTGGGCTCACGAGCCGTGGAATAACTGGGAGCCCAGACCGGTGCACAACGGCGAACCTGGGTGTGGGTGTGACTATTGATGCTGGGCTTCACTCTGCGGACGGTCCCTCTCCAATGCAGCCGTCATACCACCAATTCTTCTGAATTTTGTGCCATAAAATCCTGGGGCCTCAGCACGGTGAGACACTGGCTATCTGTAATCAACTCTGCGATCTCTCTGAACCTTGAAGGAAAAACAGACAGCATTTTCAGCAAAAACCAAACATGCAACACGGGTGTAGCCAAACAACTGTACCCTACTGCTGATCACTGTTCCGAAATCACTGTTCCGAAACTGACCGATACCCAGCGGAACTGATCTCAATAACTGATACTGATACTGTGTCCCTCAGGTCTGATACTCAAATTGCAAACTGACATGTAACTCCCTGTTAGAATACATTCTAAGAAGCACATTAGCAAGTAAGAGAACAAAACACCCTATTTGTGGGTAGGGTTGTTCTGTCCTATTTTGTCAGGAGCTAGGGTTTCACTACGCACACAGCGGTTTCAAACAACTTCCTATCGGGTAAGCAACCTGTCCTAGCTTGGAATGGTCACTAGGATTCCGAATATGCACTAGGTCGAATGGTCAAAAAGGGTGCCCCCGGTAAACCGGGGTTTGTGTTCCCATACTGTCAGAGCCCATAGCCGGTCAGCCTTATGGTCATGCCTTGACAAGACAAGCCTCCGGCAAACCGTTCAGGAATGGCAGATGGCAAACACTGTGTTCCTAGGCGCACCAATGCACATGCAATGCAAAGAAACACATAAGTGAAATCCAAACAGGATATCACGAGTTCGAGTCAAGCTCTCTAAAATCCCCAGCAGAGTCGCCAGAAACTGTAGGCGCGCCCGCGGAGGGCCTCATGCTACTATAGTTCGGACTCGCGATTTTTGTTGTCGCGGTTCTTAATCTGAACCAAAGAGTCCAAATCTGGCAAATCGTTTTGAGAAAGGAACGCGCAGAGCGGCACTCGCTGAGCAGATGGTAGCGGAGCAGCCGTCCACTCGTCATATCAGTATTCAAAGGGGATCGATCACCCCCTACCCTGATGCCTGTGCAGCATCGAAAACATCCTAGAGATCATCGTCATGTATCCCATCGAGAAAGATGAAACGAGTCGGTTGGTATCCCACCACCTCTCGCTAGAGCAGCAGGAGAGGCCTGCTCATAGTAAGTCCGGACAACCCTCGTGCAGAATGCACCTAAACGGCTTGGTCCACGATGTGGCGGACCCCGCATCAGTAGCTTGCGTACCATCACGAAGCGCGATTCCTACCCGGCGGTATGGAATCTCTGTTTTCGAACAGGGGAACCGCCCAAAAATTCGACAATGATAAATATACCAGTTTTGAAAGGCATCAGAACTCAGGAAAATACAGCAGGTGTGCAAGTCTTTCAGATTCAAAAATCCGGTGCGGTGTGCTTACAGTGAACTGCAACATGTGTTGTTCGCGTGTTTGAAGTGTTCAGTGCAAGTATAGATGTGGACAGTTTTCAAATTTCGACAGATATCGGGTACCGTTGCTCGTAGTGAACTGACAGTGACTGTGTGTCAGTTTGTTTGATGGTTCAGGCAAGCTAGTGTGTTGGGCGCTTCAATTCGAACAGATATCATTGCAAGTGTGTCATGGTCGATTACGTTGTTACGTGCTCAGTGCATTTGCTAAGCAGTTAGAGAGCATAAATCAGTATGGCAACTAGGTGTTCTACATGCGGAAAGCTAAGCAGAGGAGAATGTTACTCGGAAGCGCGAAGACAAAAGAGGATGAGGCTCGCAAAGAGAGGTGAGGCACGCCCCTCTCGAACTCTGAACTGGCGCAGTCCATCTGGAGCAGGGATGTGAATCGCCGGCCGGTAGTTCGTCGGGTCAACGGGCGGCGCTCAATGGGAGAGCTCGGCCCGGAGTCCATCTCATGATCCGGGGGGGAGTTTCGCCTTGTGGATATCAATCCGCCATGTCAATGGGCGTCGAGAAGATGGCGGAAAAAGTGAAAAAGCTGAATGTGAAGTCAACGAAAGTCAACCCCAAAGAGGTGAAAATGCCGGAGGAAAGCCATGAGAAGTGAAAAAGCTATAAGAATCAGAGGAAAACAAGGGGAACAAACCCCAAAAAGTGGAAATTGGCAAGGAAGCACCGAAACAAAAAAATGTTCAGTTCGATAAATGATTCGAAAACGCGAAGAACTTCGCGAAATCTCCAACGATGAAACGGGCGTGAAACGCAAGAAATGGAGAAGGGAAGAGGAAAAATGCTCTAGAGAAGAGGGGATTGAAATTTCGGCTAGGGGAGTAAGAAACAGGGTTTGAAACCCCATTTAAAGACCCGAGGTGAAAAGGCAAATGCCCGATTCAGGCATTTTTGCCGGTCGGCTACATTTTTGGCCACCGGCCAAATATTGGCCAGGTTGATGTGTTTTGATGGCTGTGACAGCCAGGACTTCTCCTTTCGGGCGGTTGGCCTCCTACAGCCTTGTTTGGTGTCAAATGAGTGTTGGACCTTCATTGCTCAAGTCAGTGCAGAATAGTGCATTTCTGAGCTAACCCAGCCCCGTTTTGGCCTCGGACGTGTCTTCTTGCGTGCCGATATGTGCAAGGAGTATCCTTTTTGATCCCTTTTGCCCTTACAAGATGTGGAAGTGCCTTACTTGCATTTGTATTACGACGCTTGTCGTGAACGCACCCTGGTTATGCTTATCTAGTTCGCATTGTTGCGCACATATCTTATAAGTATCATACACTGTCAATCGCACGTCTTGGCATTTCAAAATAATTGCCACTATCTGTGCACTCGCGTTGTCTAACGCATAGCTCGTTGTTTTGCGATCTCATTGGCATTTTGCATGATTTCCATCCATTTATCCTTGCGCATTCGCACTGTCTTGTGCACTGCGTTGTCTAAACGCATCGCACTGTTTTGCTGCAGTCTTAATTGCTTTTGCATGCATTCAATCGCACTGTCTTGGTGCACTCGCGTTGTCTAATGCATCGCCGTTTGGATCTTATTGACATTTTCAGCATTCATCGCGCTATGGTTGTGCATCTAATTGCATTTGCATGCTTACAAGTTGCGCGCATATGGTGCGCATCCATTGCATTTTGATCATTTCAATCGCGCTATTTTGCCGCATCTCATTGCATTTTGCGGCATTCAATTGCGGCTATTTGCCATCACACCGTTCCTTACATACGACAGTCTAGGAGACCTTAAATCCTCGGCATTTCTCATACTGCTACTCAGACACTGCTTCTGCACTGATTACAACTGTCATGGCATCATAAC